TATATATAATATAATATAATATATTAGTATCTCATTTAGCCTAAAAAATGTTTAGCACCACCAAGTTATCTACTTTTATAAAATGTTGTTTATGTAAGGTTTATTACAGGAAAATAATGAAATCTCTCAAATTTGTATTCAGAGATAACAATTTTGGCAACAATCATTTTTTATGTTTCAGGCTTTTGTTCTCCACTTTTAACAATTAACAAACCATTATTAGCACTAACAATATGTTTTGCAGTTGTAAGAGTAGAAAACAAGATTTTACACAGCCATCATTTGTGAATTTTATGTTATCTTTTATACCAAATTTGTTAGTTGTGTAGAGAAAATGATGTACCAGTTACTGTCTATTGTATATACAGTATAATGAAATATTTGAAACATTGTACATGTATTGTGTAAAGGCAAATTGTGTAAAGGCACATTTCAGATATGCTAAATTTCTTTTACATTATTGGTTACCTTGTCATGATTATGTATGACATTATACATATGTATGCATAATGTGTACATATCGTTAATGTGATAATATGTACATTTCCAGTTATCCTCTATAAAAAAAAATATGGTTTTTCAAACCAATTTTATATAAAATCGCATTGATCAAGAACAAGATGTTAGAAATCACAGTTGTTATGATTAGCGGTTGGTTCCATCATGTTAAAAATGTTTAAGTCTCGAGCATTGCATTGTGGGCTACAGTTCTGTGCACAGTGCTGGATGTATATTGGGGATATTCTGTGCATACGGAAAATACTACAAAAATGTAATTTAGGATTCGGATGTGTTTTCTTGCAGCTGGTGAAAGTGGGAATTGTGGAGCACAGCTTATCTACATCAGGTAGGATTTGCTTGAGTCAGGAACACAATGAACACAATAACAGCAGTGAAACATGACTGATGTGTGTTTCGTCTGGCAGTGGACTCTGATGACGCAGTGATGGTGGGCAGTGTGAACATGCTCTCCTCACCTCCAGCCCAGACGGCAACACCGTACGGGAAAGACATGACCTCCACCCCTCCGTCATCCCCCTCCGTTTCTGCCAGTCTCTCTGGAGCAGGGTACGAGAAACTGTGCATGCGCTTGTGAAAATGTGTTGCGCAAATGTAGCGTAAACGCCAAAGAATCCTGATTGGTTTCCCAGACAACATATCGCAAGGAAAAGAGCCTGAGGATGAGTCTAACATGACCATTCATCCCTGTTACCAAAGTTATTCCAAGACAAAAATGAAGTGTTACCAACTTTAGTGCAAAGACACAACATAATGTAAACCATTTCAATGAGAAATGTTACCCTGGAGCACAAAAGCTGTCGCTGGGGTATATTTGTAGCAATAGCCAAAAATACATTGTATGGGTCAAAATGATTGATTTTTCTTTTATGCCAAAAATCATTAGGATATTAAGTAAAGATCATGTTCCATGAAGATATTTTGTACATTTCCTACCGTAAATATATCAAAACTTAATTTTTGATTAGTAATATGCATTGCTAAGAACTTCATTTGGACAACTTTAAAGGGGATTTTCTCAATAATTCGATTTTTTTGCACCCTCAGATGCCAGATTTTCAAATAGTTGTAATATTGTCCTATCATAACAAACCCATACATCAATGGAAAGCTTATTTATTCAGCTTTCAGATGATGCATACATCTCAATTTCAAAAAATTGACCCTTATGACTGGTTTTGTGCTCCAGGGTCACAAATGAGGTTGGAAATAGAAATGTATCAAACGCTGATGCATTGATAAATCAACGTGAAACCTCTTACTGTACATCTGCTTCACACTTCTATCTCAAACGCAGTTCTCCATGCACCGGTGGGGAGGTGATGGGTCTTCAGGTGGACTACTGGACGCTACAGGGTGCAGAGAAGAAGAAAGAAGGTGAGAAGAGAGACGTGTTAATTAAGAACACACTGAAGAGCAACTTCCGCTCGCTGCAGGTTTCGCGAATCCCCAACGGAGGGGAGCCTACACCCCCTCCTGGAATGGCCATGACCGTTGTCATGAAGGAGAAGAACAAGAAAGGTGTGTTAAAATGAGCTGCTGACTCGTAAAGCTACGAACGTGGTTAATTTGGTTTACATGTGGTTTCCTTCTACTCTCAGTGATTTTCCTGAGCAAGAAACTGAAAGAGAAGGATGTGGACTCTAAGAGTCAGGTGATAGACAGCATCAGCAGACTCATCTGCACCGCTAAACACCAGCACACCATGCTGAAGGGTAAACCAACACGGACACAAACCTACACAACCCCCAGTATATAGTGAAGTTCAAGTGAAAGTGTAATTTGTTGGATGTACTCTACTGCCACCCTGTGGTCACTTGTCTAAATGTGATATTTGTTGTGAAACGTTGCATGGGTCCTTATTGTGGGATGTAACGGGTTTCTAATAATAATAATAGCTAAAGTTTTGGGTCAGTAAGAGATTTTTAAGAAATTAAAACTTTTATTCACCAAGGATGCATTAAATTGACCGATAGTGTCAGTAAAGATTCTTATAATGTTACAAATAATAAATATATTGTTCATTTGAACTTTCTAATCATCAAGACGTACCGAATCACGGTTTCCACAAAAATATTAATTGCAACTGTTTTCGACATTGATAATAATCAGAAATGTTTGTTGAGCAGCAAATCAGCATATTAGAATGATTTCTGAAGATCATGTGACACTGAAGACTGGAGAAATGATGCTGAAAATACAGCTGCGCATCACAGCAATAAATTACATTTTACAATATATTACAATAGAAAATAGTTATTTTAAATTGTAATATTGTTTTACAATATGACTGTTTTTACTATATTTTTGATCAGATAAATGCAGCCTCTGTGAGCGTGAGACTTCTTTCAAAAACTGTAAAAAATCTTAATGACCCCAAAGTCTTTAACAGTAGGCTATATCAAAAATACTATATTTCAACATGTATTGCAGTTATATGTTAAATTGAAACAATCAGGAAATTTGGTTCAATACAGAGTTCTGTCATGAAACTCTAGATGGCGCAGTCCGATAGGTCAAACTCAATCTGACATAATGACATCATTATCACATGGCACAGCTGATTGGTTCTCTCCTGTATCAGTAGCCAATGAGCTCGCTGCTCAATATTCAAATACTCCGCTAGTGCTGGCTGTAGCAGTTGCAGCACGCTTCAGAAACCCTCCACCTCCCCCAGCTCCACCTGTATTGATCTGCTACAGGGTGATCATGCATGCTATGGGGGTTATTCATATATGTTATATGTGCAGTAGAGGTCGACCGATATGGGTTTTTCTCTGGCCGATGCCGATATTTCGAAATCAGGGCAGCCGATGGCCGATATATGATGCAGATTTTTTTATTAAACGAAGTATAAGCCTTTCGGAAAGTCTATTTGTGGCGGTCAGTTTTGATATTGTGACGAGCTGACAGCTCAATGTATGTGAAACACTGGACACTGCTATAAGTCAAATAGACATTGTCATGTACATTGCATGCCAGTCCCTCCTAGAATGTCATGACAGAAATATGATTAAACATATTTATTTTTTATTGTGTGACTTCTCACAGCAGTCATTTATATCGTCGTCTTTGTCTCTGCAGTGTCCATCGATGGCGTCGAGTGGCACGACGTGAAGTTTTTCCAGCTGGCCGCGCAGTGGCCGACTCACGTGAAACACTTCCCTGTAGGAATCTTTGGCTACAGCAAGCCCATGTGACCTGCTGCTGCTTCTTCAGCGCGAGGGGAATTTACAGATGTGGGATAAAACAGACAAATGTGACCCTGGAGCACAAAACCAGTCTGAAGTCGCTGGGGTATATTTGTAGCAATAGCCAAAAATACATTGTATGGGTCAAAATTATCCATCTTTCTTTTATGCCAAAAATCATTAGGATATTAAAGGGGTGGTTCACTGTTTTTTTTCTAGGCTTGATTGTGTTTATGGGGTGCAGTCTAACATGTGTTAATGCTTCGTTTTTTAAAAAACGCATTATTTTTCACATAATTTACCTTTATTCCACACCGCTCTGTCCCTTCTCTGAGAAACGCGCTGATCATTTCCTGGTTTTATGAAGCCCCGCCCTCAGAAATAGAAACAGTTTTTGATTGAAAACAATCAAAATGTGTTGTGATTGGCTAAACCGCCTCTAGCACGCATCTAAATGTCCCGCCCCTCAACATAGCGGCATGTGCTCCGGTTGTATTGTAAACAATGACGTCGTCTATATTGCTT